AGTTTTGCAATTACTGTAGAAAGGAGAGACTTCCATTCGTGGTGTACGCCGATCTCGAATGCGTGCTGGAGAAGAAAGAGGAGAAGAGAACGCCGAACACGTCTATCATTCAGCATCACAAAGTCTATAGCGCTGGATATTACGCGCGATGCGCGTTCGATGATGCTGGCTCGACATACAAAGCCTATCGCGGCGAGAATTGCGTATCGTGGTTTGTTAAAGAATTGTACGATTTAGCGCTTCGCGCGAAGACTATTTTCAACATTGATGCGCCTATGGTGGATCTTACACCGGACGAATGTGAGAGATTCACGAGCGCGACGCACTGTCGCGTATGCGAGAAACCGTTCGAATCGGAAGACGCTCGCGTGCGCGATCACTGTCATCTAACCGGACGGTATAGTGGTCCGGCACATTCGAATTGTAATTTAAATTATAAGGAGACTTACGTAATTCCAATATTCTTTCACAATTTATCGGGTTACGATGCGCATTTCATTATTAAAGATGTGGCTAACGCTTTTCCCGGCAGCGTCGAGTTATTGCCGCTAACGAAGGAAATGTATATTTCTTTCACGAAGAACATTGAGAATGCATCAAACGAGGGATGCTTTGGAAAACGCCTGAAATTGCGCTTTGTGGATTCTTTCAAGTTTTTAAGCGCGAGTCTCGAAAAATTGGCGTCGTATCTTGACAAGAGCGAGCTGAAGATCGCGCGTTCGGAATTTTCCGATCTTGACGACGCTGATTTCGAGCTTCTCGCGCAAAAAGGTGTGTTTCCTTATGAGTACGTCGACGACGTCGATAAATTACTGGAGACTCGTCTACACCCGCGCGAGGCTTTCCATAGTTCGCTAACCGGTGACGCGATATCCGAGAGCGATTACGCGCGCGCGCGATAAGAGTCTGGGAGCGATTTCGCGTCGAAACGTTGGGCGACTATAGCGATTTGTATTTAAAAACCGACGTTCTTTTATTAGCCGATGTCTTCGAAAATTTTCGCGACGCGTGTATGAGAAGTTATAATTTAGATCCCGCATACTATTACACATTACCTGGATATACGTGGAACTCTATGTTAAAGCACACGGATATTCGATTCGAGCTATTAACCGATATCGTTATGGTGATGTTCGTGGAACGCGGGATACGCGGCGGGCTAAGTCAATGCTCCAATAGATACGCGCGCGCTAATAACAAGTATTTGCAGACTTACGATCCTTCGGAACCGTCTTCTTATCTCATGTATTTCGATATAAATAATTTATACGGATGGGCGATGTGTCAATCTTTACCTTACGAAGATTTTCGATGGGTCGACGATGTCACGAGTATAAACTTAATGTCTGTGACACCGAACTCGCCTATCGGTTACATTCTAGAGGTCGACCTTGCGTATCCGCACAACCTTCACGATTCCCACGCGGACTGGCCATTCTGCCCGACGCGCGATAAGCCGCCCGGAAAGCGTGACGAGAAACTTCTCGCCACGCTGTGCGATAAGAGTCGTTACGTAATATATTATCGCAATTTGCAGCAATGCATTCGGCACGGATTACGCGTTACGAGGATACACAGAATATTACAATTCACGCAATTCCCATGGCTGCGCGGATACATCGAACTGAACACGCGACTACGAATTAACGCGAAAAACGAGTTCGAGAAAAATCTTTACAAACTGATGAATAACGCCGTGTTCGGTAAGACTATGGAGAATGTGCGCAATCACTCGGATGTCCGGCTCGTGACTCGATGGGACGGGCGATACGGCGCGGAGGCGATGATCGCGAAGCCGAACTTTCATAGCAGAAGCGTCTTCGCGGAGAATCTCGTAGCCGTGGAATTGCGCAAACTCGAGATTAAGTTTAACAAACCGGTTTACGTGGGTATGTGTATTCTCGATATGTCTAAGATTCGTTTTTACGAATTTCAC